TAAAATAGACTATTGTCTTGGCCCGAGTGATGTCATTTTTTTGCTCTTTGCGACGAAGAAGACGCAAAACCCAACTTGATTGAATTTTTATTCTCGCGTAGCACGGTGTGCGTGTTTTGTAACACGAAAAGCAAAAGCTCACATTGCGTTCTCAGTTGTAACCTTGTTATTCTTTTAAAATGATATATTATTTATAATGATAAGAAAATACAGATAATCTCATTTATCTGAATATAATTAATAAAAATACAATGTGTTTAGTTATTTCTTTATTTGTACATTGCACTCGTGATAAAAATGTAAATTGTTACAGAGGAATTGATACTGTGAAACAAGGTCAATCCGAAGTTTTCAAAGTTATAGGTGAAAAAATTATGAGGGAAATTTTGGATATATATAGAAATAAAGATTCACTTCACAAAATCGTTGAAAAAGTTATCAGAGAGAGGCTATGATGAATAATACATTACAATGGAAATTTGAGCAATTTATAAAAACAGCTACATGGAGGAGACCTAATAAAAATTTACATGTTCATTGTTTTATAGTACGAATGAAAAATAAAATCCCAGGTCCTGGAGACTGCTTTAGCTTTGTGGTTACAAAGACTAAAATGGACTTTGATTTACACGGTAGATCTTAATAAGGAGGTAGATTTATTGTGTTATCTTGGAAATGATATTATCGGTTTATGTGCAAGATTTATTATGTATGATAAGAGGTGTGAGCCACCATCTTCTGACAAGATTACACAAATCAGAGATTCAGATGAAAAGTATAAACTAATTGATACTTATGCTCTCAAAACAAGGCCAAGAAGTGACACAAGTCATATATATATTAAAAGAGATAAATGTGATAAATGGGTTTACTCCCCAAATGATGGTTATGCTTATAAACGTGCATATAGAGAAGCAGTAGCACATGAATTACTTTTCCAAAGAATAGGAAAATATTTCATGGTGATTATATCTCATATGAGGATTTAATATTAATGATCCCATTAAAAGATTATGGAAGAGAGCAGTAAATTATGTTATTGGATCTATAGTGGAAAAACCTAATAATAGGACAAGATATACTCCAGTCTGTAAAAATAAAATTAAACGATTTCGAAATTGATCCTTCCTTCATCTATGAAAAAGATGGCCCCATTTGTGAAAAAATAATAAAATTATATATCATAAACGTTATGAAGAACATACAAAGTAATACAGATAAAATTGGAACAATGTTAAAAATAGAAATGGTCACAGAAATCCCTATATTAGCCACGTAATATAACAGCATGTTCTTAATTTAGAAATTCTATATATAACTTCACGTATATTATTTTTATTTTTTTTTCTGGTTATATTTCGATACTACAACCCATATAATATAAGCGATAAGTAGTAAGATAAGTATATAAAAAAATCAAGTCAATTACACATAAACATTCTAGTCATTAAGAATTACCCCTATTTTTAATCTACGACTCTGTTGTCATATGTCAAAATTTTTTTATGTGTCAAAGACAATAGCTCCGCTATTCTGAGATTTACTTGTCTATTTTTGTCATTCTAACATGTAATATATATATTCTGATTTGTTGAACCAAGTCATGTATAATATCACTACTACATGTGATTTCCTGCTCTCTACAAGCAATCTCGGACAAAAAAATAATTTCTGGCAAGTGCGAATATATATTATTATTATACAATGTGTTATTGGATTTATATCAGCGATCCGTGGTATTTGGTTTCCCAATAGATGATCGATTATTTCGTGACTTGGCAATATAGTTTTTTGATTCAAATTTTTTGTTCATTTATTATTGCGACTATGTCTCTATAAATTTAATCGAAAAAATATTATATAACATGTCTTTTAAAACTGAAATTAAAAAAAACAAATTGATGAATATAAAGAAAAGTTAGTTGCAAAAGAAATACAGTGTGTTTCAAAAAAAATGGCGCGCACAAAAAATCACATATCTCAACAATTATGCAAGGTAGTAGATAAACAAAATTAGATTCATTTGAAAACTTATCGAATGTTTTATTAAATAAAAAAAATCAATAAGAATTATACCATTGTTTTTTTCTAAAAACCAACTCACATTTCTGTTTCATAGACATAATAATATTTTTGACCGTTTCCCGAGGAATTCTTCAACCATAAATCTCTCAATTCATCAATATTTCTTGGCGTCCTTTTTTCAACATTATTTTTATGATATACCACATATTTTCAATGGGATTAAGGTGAGGACTGTTGGATGGCCAGTTTATTATGCAAATTCTTTTTTCAAAAATGAAGGTTTTTGTAACATGTGATGTGTGTTTTGGATCATTATCCTGTTGCAAGCGCCATGTAATAAACATATATACAAGTATTTATTATCATTCAAACAAGTTACCCAATCGTTTTTTGTCATGTGAAGATTTTCATTTTGACGCATTTTTTTTTGAAACATTACTATATATGGCGATAATTTTGATATTTTGTTTCACTAATTGTCAGTCAAATATATAGTTGACTACATAAATCTGAGCACGAGCTTGCGAGTGAACAAGGCTAATAGAGTTATTTTTAAAAAGTTATATTTAATATGCAAAAGATCACCCATACAAACAAAAAGGTTAGGGATTTTTTCCCATAAAAGAATTTTAGAATGGACCGATTTTGTTCATATCCGGATTATTAATCGGGAATCCAATATATATATATATATACCTCGAGAACAAGAAAAAAAGTAAAAATTTTTATAATCAAATATTACTCATCATGAAATTCAACCTAATCATTGCCATCATCTTTAATCTAACGATTGGCCTAACACTTGTGCCACTCATTGAAAGTAAATAATTTTTAAATGATCACACTTTGGAAAAAAATTAATTATATGTTCTAACAACACTATGTTTACTATACAGGTCATACAATTTGGGTCCATAACAAAATGTGGCCAGGTACATATGGCATGCTTTCAATCATGCAAAATGGATATGAAATGAGTAATGGAGGTTCATATGCTCACCACGGTTTTAGTGTTGAAGTGTTTGATGATATAAAAAGTTTTAACCTTTCATTCTATGTCCAGCTTTCAGGTGAAAAAGATAAGAATCGTGGACCATTCACAAATGACCGGGATTACGAATGGAAATTTACTGGTAGTGAAGATAATTGGGATATTGAAGAGCTATCCTAGTAATATTCCCCTTTCTTATTTCTTTACTAAAAAATTTCTATCTAAATCATGATGTTATATTTTCATATTAAATTTACCATAGTTTAATCATTTCATTTTACTATACAATTAAACAATTAATTTAATTTTACCAATTTCTTAAAAATACATTACATTCTGGGATTTACTTGCATTTTGATAATACCGATCTTTAGCATGTTTCATAAACTTACTACCTGGCCGGTAAAGATATTTGATTACTGCATGCTGTATTATTTTGCAGAATTTGATACCACAAACGAAATGTTTTCTAATACATGGATGCTTAAAAACAATATAGTTGATGTTTTAAATGAGTGAGAGCCATCCCTTTATACCAATAATGACATTTAGCACATTGTCCATATGAAATTTCTGTGGACATGTATTTTCTAAGAACATTAATAGGCATATAAATGTACACATATATACGTGAAATTCAAATTAGCCAATCAGAATTTCATCCCACTCAATTTCACATAATTTCAATTTCACATACAACAGACACATGGGTGAATCAAAGATTCGTGCCTTTGGCACTGCCCTTATTCCAAGTAAAATTGTGACTATATTCTACCATTATATGAAAATTGGCTATTTATTATATTTTTATTATTTTTATTTTGAAATCATCTGGTTATATACTGCAAATAAAAATTATATTAATATATCAGGCGAACGTACTGGTATGCGAATTTAAAAACAATAAAAATACAATAGGGTATACCTGAAAAATTAGGTCACATGAAAAAAACGTGTAGGTATTATTATCGAAGCAGCATGTTATCAATAACAATTCATTTTAATGAGTATAATACAAGATTTCTGAATCAAATTCATTTAGTGTGAATTTTCGCGTCTAAACTTTTTTTACTTTTTTTCTTCTTTTTATAACACCTACTATGGATTTCTCTTGCATCTATTTCATCTATAACACTCTCTAATAATTATTAGTTATAAAGATAAATAAATTCGATCTTATATTAACAATATATTTATTTTATTATAACAAATATGAAACACTTGCTCAATTATATGACTACTTTTATGTAAAAAAGGAGGATATAATAGCAATTCAAGAAAACGGCAATGCAAATCATCTAACAATGCATCAAAGTAAGACAGAACACAATCCGAAGGAAAACCACTTGCAGATTCATATAAGTTGCTGTTACATTTGGTGACATTTATAACAATTCCATTCTAGAAGTGGAGGGTATCGGTCGCGTTTACTTTGTCGAAAATTATTTCGTCAACAATCATTTCGTCGACACCCATTTCATCGAAAATTTGTTTCATCGAAAGTTCATTTCGTCAAAAGTTCATTTCGTCAAAAGTTCGTTTCATCGAAAATTCATTTCGTCGAAATTATTTCATCCTCGAACCAGAGACCGAACGAGTTAGATGTAAGGAGTGTGGGAAGTTAGTTAAGAAATTAGGTGAGGAAAGTGGTGTATGTGGGAAGTGTGAGGAGAAATTTGTTTAATGAAGTTTTTTTTTTTTGTGACGAAATATTTTCGACGAAATGAACATTCGACGAAATGAACATTCGATGAAACAAACATTCGACGAAATGGGTGTCGACTTGTCGATGGAATGAATCAGACCCGCTAGCTTTGCTAAATTTCTAAGCCATATATCTTTTGAAGTAGTTCATCTACTTTTGCTTTAGATCGTTTTTCTACCTTTTCTTCTTGGTTGGCTATTTCCAAGTATAATTTGTATAATTTTTCAATACTATTATATACTTCGTTATACCAATCTTTGAAATTTTCCATTCTTTCATTATAAGTATTTTCATTTAGAGCTTGTTTATTATTATAATCTTATAATCTTAATTATAATCTTAATCTTAATGTAATCTTAATATATCATATGTAGCTTAATTATTTTCTGTAGATTTTTTTTATATATAACTTACAACAACAAACAAAATTTTAATGTAAATTACTCAAAACTAAACTAAAAACGGGTTTTTTTTTCGATACGATAAAATAAAATAAAATAAAATACGAAAAAAAAGATTTTTTTTAAAAAACAAAGTATTCAATTTGATCGATTATAAATTAACAACGAAATTCTAAAGCAATTAAAACTCCATCTTCCGTTCCACAAATTAACCATTCGCGAGTCATTAAAAGGCATTTGATACCACAATCAACTTCAACAAGAGCGGCAGCTGGAGCAAAAAGGATTTTCTCATGATCATAAGATTGTGGGGAATGATCTGACATGGTACGATTGTTCTTATTACTTCTATTATTATTAGATGGTCCGACTAGGTATTGTTTTTGTGAATTATAAATACAATTTCTTTTTCGATTGTAATTATTTGTGTTTGATGATGATGATGATGAAGGGTTAGTATTATCATCATTACAGTTTTGCCATGATCGCACTTTAATAAATCCATCCGAAGAGACGGAAACAAGTCTAGATGAATTACATTGAAGATCCCATACTATGTCATTATGATCTTTTGCACTGCCAATTAATTGACCTGTATCAAGATCCCACATATGAATAGTAGAATCGGCAGAAGATGAAATAATTCTAATTGTTTCAATAACGATTGGATCATTAATATTTTTATTATCAACAACATTATTATCTATTAATGAATTTTCTATCGAGTCATGTGTATTTGATGATGATGATGTTCCTATTTCTTCTATTGAATTATCATTATCTATTTGAGGTTCGTTACCATTGCCATTTTCATTGCTATCAATAATATTATTAGTATCGTTATTGGTCAAGTTCAAATCATCTAGATCCATATAATCACCAGTTTCAGAAATATCGGTACCACCTGGTGATGCTGACCCGGATCTTATAAATTTTGATGTATTGATGTGAACTAAATCATTATGATGGTTGTCTTCTAAATAAGAATTTTCTTGATCAAATGATTTGATTTGTTGTTCCAAAGTATCTTTATACCATGTTAAGCAAGTAATGGCCCTGGTATGACCTTCTAATCTTTTAATTATTCGAGGTTTCCTAATTGATATATTTTCGACCGATGACGAGGATTTTTGTTTTTGAGTATCATTGCCATTGTCAACATCATCATAATAGAGATCCCAAACTAGAATTGAATTGTCATTTGATCCAGAAACTAAATAATATTGAATGTTTTCTTCATTATGATCAATGATGTTATTTGAAGAAGAAGAGGGAGAAGGATTTTTTGGAATCAGTGATAAAGCGCCTACTGTTCCACCAATTCCACCAAGCCTGTGTAAGCATTCACCATTTTGTAAATTCCAAATGCGTATGATTTTATCTACTGAACCAGAAAATAATAAAGTTTCATCCGGCATCATAGTCAAAGAAATTATACCGGCCAGATGACCATGCAATCTATGTTTTATTGAATAATTATTATCAAGAGCGTATACAATTATTGTTTTATCCCAGCTACCAGATACTAATATTGTTTTACCTAAAGCCAAACATTGAACAGCTTCAGAATGATGATCTAAAGTAGATAAAAGTTTTTTACTAGGTAGCTCCCAGATTTTAATCGATTTATCAAAAGATCCGGTATAAAACAAATCTTCAGAACCAGATATACACGTGATTCCTTCTTTGTGAGCTTGGAAAACGTTTTGTGTGAAATGAAAATTCTCCCAATTCTGTTCAACCAAAACATTATGTCTATAAAGCTGGAAATAGTAATCAGCGGATAAAGTGTTATGTTTAAAGGATTTAGGAATATCTGAAAGAAAATCGGCGGATGTACAATGCTTCTTCCAAAGAACATTGTCGGTGGCGCGAATTTTCCAAGCTTTAGAAACTATTTTAGAAAATTTAATTTTTTAGAATTATGGATCAACCAAATTTGAATATATATAAAAATATAAATACCTCTTCTTATTAGGCATAAAGTTTTTGGATCGACCAATGCGAGTAAATGTTGGGCTAGCATTGGTTGTATTTCTGAAATTATATCTTTTTTCCGATGTTTTTTTAGAATGAATTCTGACAATTGTTGAAATTCACCATCGGAGAGCTCTTCTATTAATAGCTGCACATGACTTAGGCTGCCATTTTGTTCTTCAGATACCACACTCGACAATGGCATTGTTTGAGAGCTACAAGTCCATACGCAAATCCCAATAAAAAACAGAACATCTTATATCATCTTTATATTCTTTTTTTTTAATGATGTAAATAGGCAAGATTTACAATTAAAAAAAACACTTTTATTAATAAAGATAAAATTAGAAAATAAAAATTTTAAAAATTCTGTCAAAAAAAAAAAAACTTATATATTTCTCATTTGTCACATGGAAAATAAATACACATGGCGTTGATATAACTTTATTTTAATCAACAAAAAATGTTTTCATTGTTAATGTGACAATGTGACAAGAAAATATATGCAAGTGAATACAATAATAACAAGTATTCTTCGAATCTGGATCACCTTACTTATGTGGTTTCTCTTATCATTTCCCATTAAAATCAAAATACTTGTATCAGAACTTGTTTTTTTCTAATCTTTAGTAATCATTTTTTAAACTTCAAGGTAATAGTGGTAACTCTGCTCAAAAATTTCAAAAAATTAACTCTTATCATTTACAAGTCATTTCGGTATAAATAAAATACACGCGAAATTTATTTTGTTTATATTAGAGTTCTTAATTATCATAATTGCTTGTTATATAATAAATTTTTAAATAAACACTTTTATAAAGACGTTTCACGATGTGTAACATCTTTGTTGAACGTCAATAAATATTTATTTGTAAAAACGTCGTCAACTAGATTATTTTTTTTTGGAATTCTATCATGTCATTATAAATATCCAATTATAGAATAATCAGAACCAGAGAATATGAAATTGGGTTTTACTTTAAGTAGAAAATCTAAAAATTTAAAGAAAAAAAATTTCTGAACTTGGTAACTGTATGTGGAAATTAGTAAAAAAGTTTTTTGTACTTCTAAATCAGTCATGATAACAAAAAAAAAACAATGCATCCCCATATCACACAAAAGCGAGTAGTGTGAAAAAAAAATAATAATAATACTAGATTAAAATATAAAAAGTATGGTGTAGGGTGATTGGGATCAAATATGATAAATTGGTTCCATTATAATCAATCACTTTATGTAATGTAATGCAATATAATGTTATGTAATATAAATTAGGTAGGGTACTGAATAAACAACAATGACCCCTGAGATCTTCTTGCAGAAATACATTATAATATATATTATGCATGTATAATCAGGCCTCAGAGAACGAGTGAGTGTGAGAGCGAGAAATATTTTTTTGATAAAATTTATGCCAATGATTCATTATAATATATTTTTAGTTCAAGTTTTTTTGCATTCACACATGAATTTATTGATATAATAACTTGATTATATTATATTCTTTATCTGTTTCTAATAAGGTTAACAATTTATTATTTTTATTTTTTTTTTTGCGTCATATAACGTGCTCTTTCAATTATGAATGGCATTAAGCCACTTATAGAGATGATTATTTATGTTTCTCTCAACTAAAATTGCAATTGCCAGGAAGCTGACTAGGAAGTTGTAAAGCTATTTATTATGCCAAATTCACTATTAGACACTTTTGACTAAAGTCCAACCAAAGTTGAAAAAATGATTCCTCGTGTCATGTGGAAATAACATGTATCATATGAAAGATAAAAATTAACTAATAGGTTTATGACTCTAGCTTCAACATCTGAGGATAGATAGATATTGCTATAAACTAATTGCTAATAACGGTATAATTTGAAATTGCTGATTGAAAAAACATTGTAGTGAATAATTTTCATAATTCATCAAAAAAATGGTTTAAATCATTTGATTGTTAAAAAAAGGAATTTTATTTTTTCAAAAATTAAAAAATTAAAATACATTGGACAAAATGTTCTTCGCGTTAAAATACACAAAACTTATATATATATATAACATTCTAAACATTTTTACTTTTCTCAAAAGTTTATATAGTAAAAATTAATGATCAAGATTATTTATGATTTTGCGCGTTACATATATTTGTTTTGCAATTAGATGACCGTTAAAAATTCGGATATGTCGAAATTATCCAATTTGGTAAGATCAACATTTCAAAATACAAATCGTCATTCAAATATGTCACACGTAAACGTATAAATTGCACCTAACGCGAGAGATTTCCAGGTGGTTCTGACCTTTATCTTTGTGTTCGTAAGGATAGAGCTTTAACCTGGAGAGGGATAAATATAAATGCACGAACATATCTTTGATCACCTGATCCGTCGAATTTATCTGACCGATACCCAAAGATTAATCAATATCTCTCTTGTATGTTTTCCCAGGCTGAAGCTCTATTCCTACGAACTGAGGGATAAAGGTATGGCCTTTCGAAAATTGCTCACATGGGCTGATAAATTCAATTGTAATTGGGGATTGGAAATTATCTAATTAAATTTATTAAATTTGAATACTACCTAAATTTGGCCAAGTCCGTCAATTTTTATTAATATTAAAAGCAGTATTACAGTCCCGCCTCTTTTTATATACCCCCCTATTTATATCCCAACCTTGATTAAATCCCACAGATGAGCTGTGACGGATTTCCCTACTTCGTTTATATCCAATTGAGTTATATCCCATCCCCAATTTTTGGCACCGTTATATCCCAAATTTAATTTTTTTTAATGATTTAGTTTTTATGGTCCAAAGTCAACTTTACAAATAAAAAAATTATACCTTGATAAAGTTCTTGTTAAAACAAAAAAGCCTCCCTCACTATTCACTTTGTTGACATACAACCAAAGAATACACATTTTTGAAGAAATCAAGTGTGAACATATAATCGAAAATCGTAATTTGTGTTTTTTTTACGGAAATAAAATTTTCACTATCCACTATCCATCCAATTCATTTGTGGTATTCTAGATCATCTTGAAACGACCAAAATAGTTTTCAAACAAAAATTTGATTTTCAATGTATCTTGTTGATAATGCAGGTCGTTTATCAATATTTACTAATTAAAAAAAGATAATGACGTTAAAAAAAATGTACTCTTTAAAAGGTTTTTCTTGGCATTTTTATATATGTAGTCATTTTTCTAACATTGTTGTGTTTTATGCAACTTCTGACATCTCTCTTAGCGTACCACAAGATAATAAATTTTTTTGTTTGTTATTGTTATGTATTGTAAATGTCAGAAAATTATGATGTAGTCGTCATTGAAAAGTAAAAAATTTACTTTATATGTATCTATCTATATAAAAAATTCCTTGGTTGATAAACGATCTGCGAACCAATGAAGCAATTGTTAAAATCATACAACGCGAAATTATAACCACGATTTCTGCGCCACGCCACCAAATGTGGTTGTTATATATATCCAATGATGGGCGTATAACTATTATATATAACAATTATATGATATCAATAATAGTTGCTATAACAGTCAAACGCCCATCACTATTTATATCTTTTACTGCATATGAAGCCTCTAGATCTGTTGATCCATTTCTATAAGTATCTGCAAATTTTCAAGAGGAACGGAATCAAATGCCAATGCAACAATTTTTTCTTGATGATTTAAAGTAATTTACAGCTATGAGAGCCCAAAATAGGAAACAATCATCATAATATATACTAATTAAGTCAAAATTTTCACTGCCGTGAACATTAAGTAAAAAAGAATGTCACAGGTCTCGGATTTACACAATGATAGAAAAGAGTCATTTTAAAATGATCGACAAAAATGTACTTGTTTTTCTAAAATCGCGTGCAAAATGATTATAGATAGACTTCACGCACCATGCAAAATGTACCATTGGACAGATTGGTTGGTTCACAAAAAAATGGACATACATATAAAAAAAAATTTTTTTTGATGTTGTTTTTTTTAATAGTAAACAAAATTAAAACAGTCAAAGCTCGTTACAGTGAACCCAAAATTTTGTACGGTTTTTTAATCAATACAATACTAATGTTAATAATAATAATAATAATGATAATAATAAATAAATAGCACGTCGGGTTTCGATTTTAGCTGATGCCTAATACTAATAAAAGTCTCGAATTAACGGATTGAGATAGTAAATTCTCTCGATATAACGGTTACCAATTAATATTAATATTAATTTAAATTTCGGTATAACGGATTTTTGAAAATTATCCGCTAGACCGAGACTCCGCTTATTGTTGCAATTTGGCAACCAACCATCTGATCCATAAAATCTTCTTTTCGCAATTTACTGATGAATTGCAATCCTTTTTTATTTCAATGTGTTTCCATAAACGACTAGATTGAAGATAAGGCTCGTTGTATCCATATATACAAGGCGGAAAAATTTTCTCTCTCGAAGATTTTCGTCTTAACTTTTAAATTTGAAAATAATGATTTTTATTTTTTATAGTTTCAGATGGATAACTATTCTTCCATTTGCATATTTAGTTTTTTCCGTGTTTTAAATTTATTTATTTATATTTAAAAATTACAAAAAAATATTAATCAGGTGTTTATTTTTTCACAATATTCACAATATTACAAAATTTAAATTTTGATTCATGAAATAAAATAAGTTGCTATCAAAAATATAGTCCTTCTAAGCCAACTATAACCATACATCATATCAAGCATTATGACTTGTATGACATGATGGTTTTTACCACCATTTTGATTTATTTTTTAATTTTCTTGTAATTATTATGATTATATTTGCTTTTTTTCTTATGTATTTATTATTTTCTAATAATAGCTGATAGATTCAGTGGTCTTGGTGTATGCTATTTCTTCCTTCCATTTTTGGTACTCTTTGTGTCAGCATAAGATGATGGATTAAGTTCATTATCCTGAAAACTATTTATTTTAAATCATGCAATTTTTATCAATAGTTCAAAGACATTCTATTTTTAATTGACCAAACTAAATTGATTAAATGAATAGTGGGTGGGTGGCCGACCCTTTGATTATAATCATGTGATTTCCACTATATTTATATTAAATGTAAAAAAAGTTCTTGTATACAATAAGGGGATTTTATTAAGATTTTATTATGATGTGAATTAGGACATTGAAAAAAGTTCACTGTAAGCCATTTCCACTCTAACGAGATCGCCATAACGAGCTTTGGCTGCAAAAGATAACTTTCAAAAACATCATATTAAAAAAGGCTAATTGATGCAAAGAAAAAATAAATAAATTGCAGGCTACAATTATTATGGCGTGCCGTGATAGACAAATGTCTGAGATTAGGCCCGTATCCATTTAATAATTAGATACCATTTAAAGTCTATTTTAAAAAAATAGGGTTGTTGTAATCAGTAGAGATGTGACATGCGCATGAAAAAAAAATGCAATGCGCGCATGATTTGAAAAAAAATCATGCAATGTCCCATACATAATTCTATTCAAAAAAAAACTGCGAATTTTTTAATTTTTACCAAGTTATTATTGATTGTATTATTGATAGAAAATGACAAAATCAAAAATTTGGCCTCATTTTGTTAAATTTGGTAGAATTGAATAATTGCTTCTAAAAGGAATTGGTCCACTTTTTCCTTTATATATATATGATAAAAAGCGAAACAAATTGACATCTGAATGTATTTTAATTACAAATTAAAATGTCCAAAAAATACCAACAATGATAATATGGATATTACAATTGATGATGATAAAAATCTGGGAGGCGGAAATGATAAAAGTGATAAAGAAGAAGGCAGTGGTAGTGATAATTTATTTTGTATTTTTTTTTTTTTTTTTTTTAGATAAAAAATTATTAATATTCTTAACTGGGCATATTATTGGATACAAATAATATATACAATATATACCTTGGACATAGGCCTAATTAATAATTGGACTTTTGTCTATTACGGAGATTTACAAATTATATGATAAGCCTTACCTTGACATATTTTTTTATGGGATTATGGTATAATCCACTTTTATCAAATTGTGTAAATGGCCATACATGGTCATCAATGATATCAATAATGGAGTCATAAATATTCTGAACAAAAGTGGTACTGACGTGAAGAATTACTTCCTTAACGGTATAATTTGTATATTCAAATCCATTAAAATCCCTTTTTCCGTGTCCTCCTTTCTTCTTTTTATAGAGGGTTCCTTTGCTGCACTATACTTATTAGGTAGAATCAGCTTTCGAGCAAAAATTTACTGGTCTATTAACCGAATTGAATATTTTGTTGTTGTTGATGTTGATGTTCATCGATATTAGTAAAAGCTATTTTTGAATTGGTTTGATATTGTTGTTGTTGTTGTTGTTGTTGTTGTTGTTGTTGTTGTTGTTCGTCGATGTTCGCTTAATATTCCTCCACTTTGCTCATCTTATACTTTTATAGTAGAGATTTTTGTATGCTTTTTACCCCTATATAGATAGATAGTAACTAGAAGTAATTCTAGATCGTCGATCAATTTTTATTTGCATTCTGATTTCAATTCAAGAATAAAATGTCAGCAGAAATCGCAAAAGGTACTGTTAAGGACATTTTAACTTATGATGAAAAATTATATGCATCATCTATTGATCATGAAAATCCACTTGATGTCAAAGACTCTGAACAAAATGATAAAAATCCATCAGATCAAAGAAAAGATAATGATTCCAACGCTATAGAAGATAATAAAGTAATTATTAAAGGCAAGGAGAATAAGGATCCCATTGAAAATGTAATTGGAGAGGATGCAGTGTCTGAAGAAAAGATTGATTCGGATGAAAAAATAGAAAGAATTAAGAAGAAGATATCGAGTAAAGAAGAGGAGGGGGAGGAGGGGGAGGAGGAGGGGAAGGAGGAGGAGGAGGAAGAAAAAGAGGAGGGAGAGGAGGAAATCTATGAAGTTGAAGCAATTATTGATCATAAAAAATCAGGGGTATCTAACTCTTTTCTTTTTTGGAATAAAAATTAATTTTATGAAAAAGATTTAAATTTACAAGTTTAATATTTATAATTTTAGAATGGAATGAAGTATTTTATTAAATGGAAAGGTATTATTATTATTTTAATAGAAAGCATGGATCTTAATATTATTGCAATATAACTATTAACATATATAAAATAAATCTATATGTATATTATAGGTTATCCTAAAAATCAAGCAACTTGGGAACTTGATAAAAATATGTAACTATTATTTAAATATAAATTTTATTAAGCCATCATACAATGAACTGTTTAGCACATCTACTCATACACCATATATTTATATATTAAAGTTTTGCTGAAGATCTTATAAAAGATTATTGGGCAAAACTTGAAATGACTAAAAGTTCCAAAGATGTCAAAAGCCCAGTAAAATCTAGAACTACAGCTACGGGCTCCAAAAACACGGCACCTACAACCCCTAACAAAGACAGGAAAAGAGCATCTACATCATCACCTTCTGTAAATCAAGAAAGTAAAAATCAACATACTTCAAAGAAAGTTAGAATAGAAGAAATTAAGAATGAACCTGATGATAATACAAGTGATAACTGGGATGATGATGTTATATCAGTTGAAACTGTTAGTCGTGATGAAAAATCTGGAGAATTATCGGTTTATTTAAAATGGTAAATTATTAATAATAATAATATCCATGATACTGTTATGTAATAGTTGTATTAATATTAACATTAATTAGGAATGATGGAAATACTTCAAGACATCCCGCTAAGGAAGCAAATATTAGATGTCCTCAAAAGGTAAATTTTATTATATATAAATATATAAGAAAATCAATACATATTAAGAAAAATTTTTCTATTTATTAATAAAATAATAGATGATTAAATTTTATGAACAACGTTTGACATTCTCAAATTAATTAAATGGCAACAACCATAATAATTGGTTATATTAGAAAAAAATCGTTTATTTGAAAATTATATTATTTTTTTAAAATAAGGTGCAATATATCATTGTTGTTTAACAAGAATTATTACTATCAAATTTATGATTTTCCTCGGATTATTTTTCTTAGGGAAAAATATATAATAAATGCAAATATCTATTTTTTTTTAGTATAATTGCTTTAATCCATTCCTTCCTTTCGAACAAAAAAATTCTAATTAATGAGTTGTTTAATACATTGCAAACAAATAAAAATTGAATATTGAGCAAGCATTGACAGATAGAATAAATTAATTAACATAAAAATAATCATTTTCATTCTTTTTTTTTTTTTTTTTTCAAATATTTCATTCTTTTAAAAAATGTCAACTACTACTACTGGGCAAAGGCCACATCGTCGTAATGCGAGTATAGGTACAATTAGCACTAATGGTTCAATTGAAAATCTTTTAGCAGCGCTACCAATCCCACAAGTCGATAATGACAATACAAGACAACACGCATCTCAACAAAACATACTACTCGATTCCCCAAAAAACCAAAACCCAAACATTTCTATCATTAAAGAGAAAACTACCAACATATCACCTTCATATGATCCACTTTCAACAAAAAAACAACGAAAACCCGATGGATCATTTATTAGTCCAAAATCCTCTGGATTAGACATTAGAAAAATTCTTTTTTTTTTTGTTTTCTTATGGGCTCTTGTCGTATTTTTATCTAGTCTATTCGGAATAGGTTCAGTTGATGAAGAATTACTCATTGATAAAGATGTCCCTATTAATGATCATACTATAGTTAATGAGACAATAATCGATGATAATAAAGACTCCCCTAATGAAGAAATTGATGCATGGGAAGAAATTGCACAAGATGATTGGGAGGATACAACTCGTCTTTTAAATATTGATGTTGATGATAATAATATTGATATTAATATTACAAGCGATGAAGAAGATATTACTGAAAACATAATTCCCACGCAAAATGATACTGGTGATATAAAAGGTAAATTTGGATCTTCTGATGATTCAATAGATTCAACACAGATTGGAATAACCAACAAACTTAAAAAAAAGAAACAAACCAAATATGAAATTAGTGACGCTCTTAACGAGGATAGTATTGAAGTTGATTATTCTGATTATACATACATCACTACAAATCCTCATTTTACCCATACTGACATTGTTGAGTCACTTTCAATCAATGAACATGAAGAGTTTGTTAATTTACAAATGTCTCAAAAAAATATTGATGATAGTTTAGATCATTCTTGTGGATCATGGCAAGACAAATATACAAAATTACACAAGGAAATTTTAAACGGAACTGCACCTCAAAGATATATTGGTTATATATGCGATGCTAAAATAAATTGTGGCGGATTGGCAGACCGGTAAGCGAACATATAATTTTTAAAGATACAAATGCAAAGTTCTTTTTTACAATTATGTGTGTATAATTTAATCAAATCTTTGTTTTATATATATATAGTATTCTTGGCATGACATCCACATTTTTATTTGCATTACTTACAAACAGAGCATTCCTTGCAGACTGGCAAGTTCCCCTTCCACTTGATGCAATTTTTGATTCACCAAATATTGACTGGAGCTATGATTCTCTTAATCCTGATTATTCTATAAAAGATTTTGATACAACTGAATTAAATATTATTGATTATGATGTAAAACATTTGGATTATCATTTCTCACTTTTTAACTGGACAACAAAATATCCAGAACCATTTATAAAATTTTATATAAGTCAAGGGCTGATACAAAGAGCTTTTGATTCTAAATATTACTCATCTAAATTAAAAGAAATTGGTCTGAGACCACATACTGCATTTGGATGTTTTCTAGATTATTTATTTAGACCGGTTCCAACAGCATTATCTTTTATCACACAATATACAGCCTTATTTGCACTTCCAAGTATTTTTTCCGTTGGAATTCATATACGGACTGGAGATACTTATGAACAATCACATTCATTACAAGATTACAGCCACTTTTTTAGTTGCGCTGACCAACTTACACAAACTTATGCAGCACCAGATCAAAAAGTGATATACTATCTTGTCACAGATTCTATTAAACTAAGAGAAGAAGCATACACAAAACTTGAACATGTTATAATTTCTGGATTACCAATTGATTCTGGTCATGGTCATTATGATCACGCAAATGGTGTAAATAATGCAATAGTTGAAAATTCGATTTTGAGCAAAACAGATTATCGGGTATGTATTTAAAAAAGCGAATTTTGTTGGTTTAAAAAAAATCTTACAATATATTTATAATGAATTATAATAGGTGATATCACGAGGTAGTTTTGGTAAGTTGGCAGTTTTTCGTTCAAAACAACTTCATTCCACAGTATTATTGTCTACAACACGGACTAAATTTTTAGACTGTACACGTGAGGTAAAGATATATATACTTGAAACCATTTGTTTTTCTTTTTTTTTTTCGAAAGTAAAATAATTATTAACATATATAACGATAAATAGGATGCGTTTACAACTTTCAATCGATTAGCCAATGAATGGTCAATTATTTAATGCATTGTTTAATAAACAATATAGAAAATAGAAATATTACAAATACATAGATATATAGATACACAGATACACAGATATACAGGTATATAGATATAGATATATAGTGATAGGTACGTAACTGTTACAAAAATGTTATTGAATAATTGTTATAGCAATTATTATTGTGGAATAGTTGTTATAAAAAAACTTTATAACAGTCGAATGCCCATTATGTACTTCTATACCTACTGTTAATAATAACAAGGACGCACCCTACAGGGTGGTCAAAGTTTTAAAAAATTTATACTCGCCTTAAACAATTCCTTCCATCTGAAGATCATAACTTTCGTTTTTGAAATATTTGCTCGTAGTGTCTAGTTCATTAATAAATCGATGGTGTTCTGTTACTTCATCTACCTCTTTAAAAATGGCTCATCTACACTTTCTTCCAAAAATCTACATTTTCAAATTGAAGTTTAACAACAGACTGTTAAAAATTTGGATATAAAGTAAAGGAATGGATGGATGGTTAGAGAATTGCCCCTTTCTGGAAAAACAGTCAAGAAGATTTTACTATTACTATTTATTTTTTCCAGGTCCTAGACTAAGTTTGCTCTCTCCATAACGAACCCCTCTATAATGAACACTAAGTAAAATCTCTATATAACGAAATTCACGTTATTAGTTTCTCTCTCTATAATGAACATCTTAGTAAACCCTCTCTATATATAACAAAGGCGCATATTACGGAATCATCTACTATAACGAATCATATAATAAATTGTGGGGAGATCGTCGTTTTAAAAATATCTCGGGCATATATGCTGATTTTGTTTGATCCCCAAAATTCAGTACGGTATGATCATAACGTTATGAATATTTCATACTAGAAAAAACACATTGGTTTTGAGGCGGTGCCCTTGGTTTTGACAGGCTGTTGAATAGTAAAATGGTTTTTTTTTAGCAGAGAAAATAAATTTTTTTTAGAATTATCATTCTATTGACCAAATCGGGTGATCCATTAAAAATTTACAAATCAGAATCAAAAAAATTCCTAATAACAATTAATAACAAATTGTCATTTAATTTACTAGATAGAGAACCGTTAGATAATTATTTAATGATTTAATTGACGAAATTATCAAGTTATAAGAGAGATTTGCTAATTGACGGATTATTAAGATCGATTACAAACCAAAATAGTCAACTTAGATTCTTTGGAATATTATTCTATAACGCAACCATCCTATTTCAATAATTGTTTTTCAAACCTTGATGAGTTATTGTTCTGTAGTAATCATGATTCAGAACTGTTACATCATTTGGCAAAATTATTCAAATACTGAGGGCAACGTTTGTAAATTGTGGCGATGATGATTATCCATCTAGTTTAGGTTAAAGTACAAGCTGGTTGAGAAAAGTACTATTGAATAATGATAAATTTATTCAATATCAGTAGAAATGACAAAAGGATTATCATTACATACAAGATCGTCAGTAAAATATAATGGTAGAATTTGTAACAAAGTTGATTCATCTATATTCAAAATTGATAACTTGGCATCTTTAACTTTAGCGTATATTCAACTGAAAATATTATTGAAAGATTGAAGTATATGTGTCATTCCCAAAATTTAGAAAATTACCAGTCGTTATATATTTAAAAGGTTATTTATTAGACTTTTATGATTTCGTTGTCACGAACAGGAAGATCCTTCAGAAATTAATTATTGGAGGTGTAGCAAAAGATAAAAAAATGATTGGATAGCTTATGCAGACAATTAGAGAGAATTGTTCAAATCTAAGAAATTTATCAATATTATTATATAAATGATTATCTGGAGAATTGTGTTAATTATTTAAATTTTGTATCAATTTGGAAAATATTTCATTAATAATGACTTCTCAAGGATAAGTGGCGATGGTGATGACGATGATGACAACAATGACAACGATAATCATAATCATAATACTTTGAATTTTCGATATTCTAAATCAAACTTCAACAAAATTAAAAATAATTTTATTTAAAGGAAAATATATTGCGTCTGATGATTCATTGAATACCTTGATGAAAAATTGGAAAGGACCTATACCTATTGGTATGAAATTTTTTAGTAAGGATTCACACAAAGGATTAATCAACATATTAACAAAATATAAAGATTTAGGACTTTTGAATTTTGAATTTGTATTCTATTAGTGACATAAAATATAAAAATAAAAATAACATCAATGAGTGATAAAGATTAAATTGTTTCCTAAAAACGTTTAACAACCAAACATACCATTATAACAGACATAAAATATTCTTCTAATAAATAAAAATTGATGACTAGAAATATATCTTGAAGATGAGGATTAAAGCTGGTTTAGCCTCTTTATCATTTGATGTTATTGTTTTTATATAAAACTTAAATACTATTTAATATGATTGATAAAAAATCGTTAATCGATATATGATTAAATGTATTATCATTTGTAAAAATATATCCTTATTAAGTGAATTTGTATAAATAAGGTTTATTATCGGTATCGGTACTGATTGTCTAGCAAGCAAGCGTTTCACAGTCTAAAAAATTATATATGAAGAAACCATGTACAAAAATAAATACTACCTAATGATTCAATAACTTTTGAATTTAGGTCCTGTAATTTTTGCTAATAGTAATAATAATATATATATATAGTTAATATTGCACCAAATATACATGAATGAAAATGATGGGAAATAATAAATCTTTTTCTGTTTTTTTGGTGCTTTTTTTTTTTAAAAAAAATTTATTTTGAAATAATAGCAGCTGCAGATCATACATCTGTATATATAGAAAAAATTTTTATTTCTTGTTCACTAAGGGACTTTATTATTTATCCAATGAAATGTAAAAGTTCCGTAATAACCATTTGCATATAGAGGCAGAATAGCGTTGCTGTGCCCAAACACAATAGCACTTGAGAGAATCTCAAAGAGCTCTTAGTCACATGTTAGACACGGTAAAGTGATCAAAGTGATCACGGCCACAAACCTGAATCCCATCCACCAGACTGAATTGGGGAGCAGGATTACCGAATAGTGAATTCATAACACAGCGAAACAAAGCTCAAACAACCTCTTTCCTTGAAAATTTCCTTTAAAGCAGTACTACATTGATTTATAATTCATTACTGTATAATGACGAAATGGTCCTGGTTCACAGAACAGTTTGCAGATAAATATATTTTTAAAAATGATTGACACAGGAGAAATTCTTGGTGTTTTATATGTTTATTAAAAAAAAGAAAGAAAGGAGTCTATCTTTTCCGATGGTAACATTAAAACTTCTAAAATAGTTGACAAAAACACAGTATTAGACACTCACACTCTTTATCTCGGTAATTTTTACAAGAAAATTTACACAAAAATTTGGTGGCCGAGGAAAACTCTATTGAATGTGACTGCCAACACTATGGTTTGAAAAGGAGAGAAGGTGACCGCCTCATCATAGATTCGCGCTGACAGAAAATGAAAAGGTCATCATCACCACTTTGTAAATCATTTCCTAAATATACCTCTTTTTTCAGGCAATCATATTGCATTATATTTTCCAATCAACGAAATACACTACAAAGGGAGAAAACCAAGGCATAATAAATCCTTCGCATGCTAATTCCCGAAATCACAGATAAGAAAAATAAGCGTTAAAAAATCACAATTTATGGATCAAATAGATCAATAGTAATAGTTTAAGAATAAAAAGTATGCATCAATTATATTTAATCAGCAACATCAGGGAGAGTATAATTCGCATTTCAAAAAAATATTTAAATCGCATACTCTTTGTATTATTACATGTCTATTATATATATATATATATATATATCATAAATAGCCTTCCATAAATCTTTTCTTCGCTTTTAAAATTTAAAACAGTTAATAATATAATATGTCAAACTTAACATATAATAATAAATATTTAAAATTTCTATTAATTGTATGTTGCTATACAACAATAATTTTTTTATTTGATAATGCGAGGGGTAATTCTGATGTAATGTGTAACAACAATCATGGTATTACAAAAAACGATAAAAGACTGTTAATATATGATGATGAACAATATGGAGGAGCAAGTCTTGTTGCTAGAGACAGTAATGAACACGATGAAAATAGTTGTTCTAGTAGTAGACATTTATTAAGACGTAACGGAGACAGAGGACAACCGTCTAACACTGGAGACAGTGGCGGCGGGTCAAAACGGCCAAAACGACCACCATCACAACAACAACAACAACAGCAACAACAACCGGTAACGGCAGATGCAACAGCGAAAGCAATCGTTTCAGTTGGTAAACAACAACAACAGCAACAACCAAAAGCAAAAGCAAAAGCAAAACAAGCGATGCCTCCTCCTCAAAGAAGAGGCTTTTTAAATAATCATCATTGTGGATATCCTTATTATCCACCACCGCCACCATATCCATGTCCACCATCTCCATGCCCACCACACTCAAGTCCACCACCATCTTCAAGCCCACCGCCACCTAAAAGACCACCGCCTAAAGGACCGCCACCTTCATGCGGAAAACAAGAACAGCCTATAACAGTATCAGCTGTTGCAAAGGTATTAATCTGATTTATCAATTGATTGGTTCGTTGATCAAACAGTGTATTTAATTTATATTTAATGATTTTCTTTAGGCAAATGTACAAATTGGAAAAGTGATGGGTAACGGTAAGGGTAAGGGTAAGGGCAAGGGTAAGGGAGGAATGGACAGTGTTGATATGACTGGTGGAGATATGACTGGTGGAGATACGACTAGTGTAATGGTTCCTAATGGTAATGATGAATTTTAAATAAATAGATATAGAAAGAGAGAGAGAGGAAAGAAAAATTTAAATAATTATATAATAAATTAAGTGCATTATTCTAATTTTTGCTCCTGCATACATTTGAGTTGCACGACACGGATTACACAATTAATATTAAGAAAGATGATAAGCCAATAAATCCATTTTGTTCAGACTATAAAGGTCTATTTATGGTTACCAATAGGCCGATAAACCTTATTATTTTTTATTGATTATCCAATTGCCTAATCGATAATATATATACGAACATGAACATAATATATATATAATATAATATGAATATATATATATATATATATATATATATATATATATATATAACAATATAACGATCAAAAAAAATTTAAAAATTTTTTTTTACGTTAATAGATTAATAACAACAACAACGACAACAAATACATTCTTTTATCAAATTTGTATTTTTTAAAAATTTCCATCATAAAAAAAATCTAAAAAAAAAAAAAAATGGGAAATACTACATCAATATCAATAAAGTGGAAAGGGGTCCGTCACATAAAAGGAAGAGGGAGGAAAACCAGCGATAATTCAAGGAATGCATCAGTAATTTCTCCTACCGATGCTAACGAATCTTCGTTAATAGACGAAAATAATCAAAAAGATTATATAATGAAGATATCGTTGCAGGAGGTAGATCGATTCCAACAACAACATCATGTTTTTAGAACTTTATGGAACGGAAACTATTCATCGCCGGTTGGTGATATTCTTAAAAGTGGTGACGCCAATGTTCTTGATGTTGGGTGAGTAATTTCTTTATTGTTGATAATAATAAGAAAAAACAAATCATTAATTATCTATTTGAAAATCATTAGGTGTGGTCCAGGTACATATATATACACACACGCACGCACATATTTAACTCATTCTTTTAAAAGATAATAAAATGCAAAATAATAATCCTTCAAACTATTATATTTAGGTACCTGGGTCTGTGATATGGCCAGCGAATACAAGGTAAGAACAGTATTTTCGAAAATTATAACTTCTAAAACAAAAATTTCATCTAAAAATTATAAATTTATCAACAAAAGCAGTCGAAATTTTTTGGTGTAGACATCAAAGAGCTGTTTCCCAAGTTGCAACCCACCAATGTTGCTTTTATAAAGACGGACATCTTTAACGGTCTTCCTTTCAAAGGTACATATATATAATTATAAATGTTATAAAATATTAATAATGACATATTATTTATTCTATATATATGTGTGTGTGTATGTGTATGCAGATGATTTTTTTGATCTTGTCAGGATTCGTCATATGGTTTTTTGTTTTTCTGAGCAACAATGGAACACATTCATATTGCAAGGTTCAAATTTTATTATTGTTATTGTTATTGTGTTATTATTTTTATCTAAATAAATATATACAATTTTTACATATATAGAATTGGTCCGTGTCATAAAACCAGGAGGATGGATAGAATTAGAAGGTAGATAAAGAACCTAAAAACTTGTATTAATCAGCACGTGTGCTGTATATAACGTCACACTAATTATTTTTGTATTTATGTAGACGCAGAGGTTGTAATGTATAATCGTGGCCCTGCCGCAACAACTATAAGTGATGCAGGTAAAAAATGAAGGGAAAACAAATTAAAATTAAAAATCACCAATAAAATTTCTTTCACTCACTCATTTCGCGTAATTTGATTAATTTCTTATAGTAAATCAGATCCTAAGATCAAAATCAATGGACCCAAATATCACCCAGAAATTTGCTCAAATTATGAGTAACACTAAAAAATTAGGCGATATATATCATCAGGAAAAAACCATACCATGTGGAAGTTGGGGTGGCTTGTTAGGCGATTTAACGGGCGAACTTACTGACAGTTTTTATGGTGGAATAAAAAGGAAGATCATGGATATATTGAATTGTAGCGAATCACAGGTCGACGAGCTATTAAATAATTACGCCAATGAAAGGTCTTTATATAGGACCTACTCAAAGCAACATCGATATTATGCACAAAAATTATCGAAATAATTCTTTTTAATGTAATTCCTATAAGGGGATCAAGAAATATGCATTTATTTATTCGCGAAATTTTGTGATTATTAGATTTCAAGCAATAACAACACTAATTTGTAATTCATTCTATTTTTTAAATGTGAATGATTCTCAAAAAAAAAAAACGCATTTTTTATATATTTTTTTTGTGATATAAAATCTACGATGTACAGTATATGCTTTGTAATCCTTTATTTCATTGGTATAATTTTTCATTAAACTTTACTATCAATTTCCTTCAAATAATGTTCCCAATAGATAACTCCTATATAGAAGAGAGAAAAATAATAGAGAATTGGGAATTGAATAGTAGCAATATAAAATTACATAAATTAAATAAATCACATCCTAATTTATTTTGTTCAACATGATAATAATAATATATATAAATAACTATAATTGACTAAAAGATTATGCCAACAAACTCCTGCCTCGTCACATTCGATACAACCGCCAGGTTTCAATACTCTTATGAGCTCCGGTATCGAAATACTCTACCATTTCTCGATCGACAAGTATAAAAGAGTTGTCGGCGAACGGTAGAATATCCAGTAAATCTTTCTCGTAAAATTTGCCCTGCGTCGGGAATAAAGGTGTAATATCTATTTCCACGAATTCCAATAACGGATAATCTAATGCTATGTCACAAATCCATGTTGCGAAACCGCATCTATATAATTGGATTTGGGAGAATGGGATGGTGGAAAGGAAATGGGAAAATTGGGGGGGGGGGTGGTGAAGAGGGAGAGAAAGAAAAGAGAGAGTGTTATGAAAATAAAATTCTTTGGCATATTTATAAATTTATATTCAACATATACGTGTGCATTCACACATATAACATGTATACATTACCCAACATCTAAAACTTCGATACCGTCATTTTTCAATTTTTCTTTATCGGTGAGGAAAAATTCTCTCTCCAAATATTACAAAGATGATGTTGAAGTTGCATTCTATCAACTTGACTAACACCTATTACACAGTGAATCTCGATTTAACGGATCTCGATTTAGCGGATACTAATTAAAAATCTCGGTTTTACGGATAAAGTTCAAAGAACGGTTTCATAATAAACCTTAATAAAAACCTTCTCGATATAGCGGATATCTCGGTTTAACGGATTTTTGGAAAATTTTCCCTAATTGCCCAAACTATCCGTTAAATCGAGATTCACTGTGTATAGTTATCTCGTCTTTTATATAAATTTCATCACCGCTAAAACCGTAACTATTATAACCATCGCTACTACTTTTGTTCTTATTCTTATTCTTTTGTATAATAATAGTGATAATAATAGCTTACAAATATACATGTAAACAAATATTTTTCTCAACTCTCTCCATCCACTCCGAATCTTAACATCGGAATATTTTGCTTAATAAATAAATTAATTAAAAATTTTCTAAAAATGAAAAATTATAAAACGTATGGAAGATCTTTCATGGTTATTATTATATACACACCCCTAGACAAAGTTTTCGGACACCTATTTTTACTGATTGCGTAAAATTACACATAATAATTATATATAAAATTTATATCATTGGCGGCCTAGTTTTTAGTGAATATGCATGTAAATTTTGATACTCTTAGAACGTCTAGAAATATTTTAATTAAAAGAATCCGAAATCAACGAAAATCGCGATATCATTTTTTGTTTCTCGAATTTACCCAAAATCCTACATAATAATAATAATAATAATTTGTAGCTTAGGTTATCTAGAATATGAATGCAAAATTTTGTGATTTTGGCTAGCATAAATAATTTATAATAAAATCAAAAAAAGTTAGTAAATAAAATCGCATTTATAAAAATCAAAATTTTTAAAAATGTAAAAATGCCAAAAAACGAAGAGGAAAAATTTTGAACCTTCATAAAAGTACCTAATTGGTCTTCACAATCTTAATCCAATTGAACATCTTTGGAGTGAACTAGGGAGCGATTAGATAGGCGAACACAATACCCAAACAATGCCAACGAATTGAAGCTGCTTTACAAGAAGTGTGGTCAAGAACTCACTACAAATTAATAGAAAGCATATCTAGAAGGACTGAGGCACGTATTTCTAGTGATGGATGGCCAACTCGATATTAATATTAAACTTTATTTCATTTTTTTTTTTGAATTTTTTTGAATACAAATAAATATGTTGATCATCATTTTCGTCGAGAATTTTTCTATATTAATATAGACGTTTTAAGAATACCAAAATTTACATATATATTCATCAAAACCTAAGCTACATTTGATAAAATTATATGTATAGTTATTACGTATAGTTTTGCGCAAGCAGTAAAAACAGGTGGTGTACACTATATACAATTAAATAAAAGGCGTGAATGGACGGAGAATAAGATTCTTTAACGGATAATAATATATAATAATAATAAATCGTGCACGGTGATTTCTCATTAATATTAATATTCGTGTAATCAAATTTATTAATAATCAATTATGTAATATGTGTATGGGATAAAAAGATGCGCGGGGGAAAGTTCCTCATTAATATATAAAAAAGAATGTATTTTACGAGGATAAACATTAAACGATGATAAAATAAAATAATTCGATGACATTGATATTAATAAAACAATTTTGATGTGATGATAATGAATTAATAAATAAATAAAAGTTTTTTTTTTTTCAATTAAGTTGGATTTTTCGCCCAAAAAATGCATGATGCGTGCAATAGGTTTTATAAAGATTGAATTCTTGATTTAATCCGTTCATTGTTTTCTCAAAAGCTTCATCACTATTCAATTTCATTGATCTTGATATTTTATTTTTAAATTTTGCAAACGTTTGTATTATAAACGGAGCCGTTAATTCACCTAAAATAAATAAATAAATTTCGCAAGAAAACAAAAAAACCGATAGTTATTATTTAGGAAGAATAATGATTTAAATCATCATTTATTTATTTATCTATTTATTTGACGTTTAAAGATTAATATATTGTTGAATTTGCCCGCTCATTCACCTATTACACCATCCCATTCACCAACTGGTATTGTTTTATGTTCATGATGAATATCTTCAAGAAGTTTGGAAGAAGCCATAATATTTCCCAAGTTTCTTATCATTAATGGATCCAAATTACGCGAATAAAATTCTGAATGAACTTTTGTTTGTAATTAGATTAATAAGCAATGATAATGATAATATATATATATATATATATATACACACACATTATCATCTTTATATTTACCTATATTGAATATTTTTGACAAACGTGGTGACATGTTATTACAATTAATTTCGGCATCGTAAATTTCCAAGTATCCACCTGGTTTTAATATTCTTACCAATTCTATATCAATAAACAAATAAATAATCAATCAGTTAAGATTCCTTTCTTATTCTTCTTTATTAATAACTTTTTACCTTTTATTACAAAATTTTCCCATCGTTCGATTGTGTAACAGATAGTTCGAAATCTAAAATGTATAAAATCAAAAGTATCGTCTTCAAATGGTAAACTTGAATGGCATTTGTGAGTCATAAATTCGACATTATTTGGTTTAGAATCTGGGAATAATTTTAAATGGTCGATCCCGATGAAATTCGATGATTGATAATCTGATGATAAATCACACGCCCAGGTCCCCGGCCCACAACTATTTTATGGAAATAAAAAAATAAATAAATATATTTTTATTTTATGAATGTTTAATTAATTCTCTCACCCAATATCTAAAACTTTAAAATTTCCTCGCTTTAATTTTTCGTGAACAGGCGAGGAAAAATTTTCCCCCCAAATAGCCTTAACTAAATGATGTTGATCTTGATAAAACTCGGCCAAAGACTCTAGTGCAGGGAAAAGATCAAGGCAAAACTCTCTCGCCTGTGACTTTTTTAATCTTCCGAAACTTCTCTTTGAATTAAAGTTTCCCATTATTATTATTATTATTATTGGCTAAACGGGTTCTTCCTTTGTTGTTATTATTATTATTATTATTATTATTATTATTATTATTATTATTATTATTATTATTATTATTATTATTATT